GGTAGAACATTTGAGAAACCTAAAATAAAAATGCAACTTTTACCATGAACTCTTTGCTGTTTACTGACACCCACCCAAGAGCTATCTTATCCCCACCCTCCAGGTCCCAGATGCAGTGAGAACACTGCAGTCAGCATCTCAGATGTTAACCCATGTTCTGAAGTGCACCTCTGTTTCACTGTAATTGCATTAACATCGATAGCCACACAGGTTTTCAGACTTCTTATAACCATGCCTCCAAACACAAAAAAGCATGTGGGCATTGTAGTGCCTTTCTGTAGCTCAGGGAAAGATACAGGAACTAGAGAAACTAGCTATAGCACTAGGTAAGAGTGCTGTTAACCCACCTCTGAAGTACTAGCAGATGGCCTAGCACGACATGACTCCAAGCCCTCCCCTTCTGAGGAAGTGGTAAGGAATAGCTAGCTCTTCAAATGGAAAGAATTTCAGCTTTCACACCCCATCTATTCCAATACTCTTGACACGGGTAACACATCAGGTGTGCCAGCAGCACTGCTCTGTCACTGTCCAACACATAGAGCCATCAGAAGCAGGTATCAAACACAATCAGGGATACAGAGCTTTTGAACACAAATCATACACATCAGCCTCTGTGGTGCAATCGGTCAGCATGAAAGGTTGGTGGTTCAAGCCCACCCAGGGACGGGTTCCCTTTTTAAGGCCTGATTAGAACCTCATGAAGCCCAACAACAGGAAGTGCCAAGTCCTGCCCTGGAGAGGAACAACCCCAGGCATCAGTAGATTTTGGAGGCCACCCCACTGAAAAGCAGCTTGGCACAAAAGGACCTGTGAATTCTGCTAAACACCAACACAAGTCAGCAAAGTGCCCTTGCAACAAGGCAGCAAAGAGTCTCCTGGGCTGCACTAGGAGAAGCACTGCCAACAGGTCGAGGTAGGTGATCCTCCCTCTCTCCTCAGCACTGGTGAGGCCACACCTGGAGTGCTGTGTCCAGCTCTGGGCTGCCCAGTACAAGAGAGAGACATGAACATACAGGGGTCCAAAAAAGTCCACAGGGACAATTAAGGTATAAGAGCATCTCTCCTATGAGGAAAGACTGAGGAAGGTGGGACTTGTTCAGCCTCAATGAGATTAGGTTCAGGAAGGGATCTTGTCAGTCTATATAAATGCCTCTGCAAACGGCAGAGCCAGGCTCTATTCAGCAGTGCTCAGGGACAGGACAACAGGCGATGGACACAAACTGAAACACAAGAGATTCTATCTGAACATCAGGAAAACTTTTTCACCAAGAAGATGACCAAGCACTTGGCGCAAGCTGCTGAGAGTGGTTGCAGTGTCTCCCTCCTTGAAGATACTAAAAAGCCATCTGGACACAGTCCAGGGCAGCCTCCTCCAGGTGTCCCTGCTTGAGCAGAGAGGTTGGACCAGATAATCTCCAGAGCCCACTTCCAACCTGAACTATTCTACATTCAGCATACTGTTCAGGAGAGAAATCCAAGTTAAATTATAGACAGATGTGATCTCTGACTTCTGGCACCCAGAATACCCAGTCAATCTAGAGCTTCACCTTTCATTTCACACCAGCCTCAGGCACTGTCGGTATATAAAGCCCAGTTCTTGCTTCCATAGGCATCCTTCCTTCTGTTCTTCTGGATGACATCTGCCTACAGACTTCTTGTGTTTGTCGTGCCTATCCTGAATTAAAATAATCCACTTTTCGAAAGTTCAGAGATGATTCATAGTCTTTAACCAATATAAAGTATTAATATATACATTATGTTCACTATCATTGTTTGATACTATAATACATCCTATTTTGTGTATATGATGAATTATACATTAAAACTGACATCACACTTTGGGCAGCTGTTACTGCTCTTCCCTGAAACTCAGTTTATGAGTTTGCTCCTAATCCTAAATCGTAATGAGCAGCTGTAGAGACCTAGCTGTGTTGAAGAAAATCTTGATAGCCACCCTCCTCAGATCCGAAAGTCCACCCTGACAAGCATTAAGAACTGGGAACCATGCACTCCTGTCAAAAGGACTGAACCAGACTTGCTCGCAGAACCAAGTAAATCCAGAGTTGATGATACACAGAAAAAACACTAGAAAAGTTTTCTTCTGAGCATGACTTGACACTTCTATTTTTTAGGTTTCTTCTGAGGTTTCAGTTTTTTAAGCTTCCAAAATAAAGTACTAGAACTCAAGATCTCTGGAACTTCAGGAATTTTGCGATCTCTGTACATAAAACGTGCATAGATCCTACAGAAACCAGTAATGTGAAGAAAACAATCTTCAGTTAATCACCACAACCATTTTAATTCCAACAGAAAAGACCAGACATTACTCAGGCATAAGGACAAACCTTCTTACTCTTGCATTAAAATCAGCCATAGAATGTAAGCAGGCAGTAGTCTGGAAACACACCTTCACAGTTCTTTTGCCTGTACAACCCTTCATCAATTTTTAATTTAGGTGCCGCAGGTACTCAAGAGCAAGGTATGTGGAAATTTCACCAAACCGGGACAGTTTTAATGGAGAGCTTCTCTCCTTTTTTCCCCAGAAGCTAATGCTGTTGGACAGAGACCAGGAAAAACACCTTACGCTTTGCCCTTGAAGACTCAACTACCTCTGAAATCCATGCAATGATTTGTCTGGCAACATGAAAAAGCCCTGGTCATACTGATGTTCCTTCTTCACACCTTCATGAAGGACAGCAAGATGCTGGAAACTAGCTTTGAAAAAGAGATCACATAGACGCTGGACGCAGCACACAAACATTTAAATAGCAGTAAGTTGTGCTGATCACAACACAGACTGCACAAGTTTTGCAAGTGTTTGAAAAAATGCATCCAGATCAGCCTCAAAATATGGAATTATTATACTAAACTACAGGGCAAGATTAGAAGGATTACTGTCTTTCACTGTATATTGGGTTACTGGCAAACAAGGGAACTAACAAAATGAAGCCTACAGAGCTGTTACCACTGTGGTATGTGATGGCAGCAAGAACACTATTTCCTGAAGTTCTGCCAAGGCTGATGAGACAGTCCTTGGTATTGTTTGGGGACTTACTGAACTCGTATTTTCATATGCTTAAGACTTACTTACTCTGAGCCAGCTGTTGATGTCATTACTGCAGCAGGAGAACAGGAAAGGTGATGCTGTAGTGTGGATAAAATCCCCAATAGCAATAATAAAAAGTGCATCTTGAAATCTCCACCAGAAGCCTGTCCCACCTCCCTTCTTAAAATACTGGAAGAAGAAATCCGAGACAAAACCGTAACAACACTTCATAGTATTCTCAAGTGTAAGTTCCAAGAAAATACAACTGCTGTGCCATATTTTTCCAGGCCAGCATAAAGACTGTCCAAACCCTTTGCCAGCCGCAAGTAAACTGCTAGTCAGTATTTTTAATATTGACTACAAAGAACTGGAAACAACTTCAGTTTTAAACTGTTTTTCATGATCACGTAAGATTTCTCAGTTACCTCATTCCAGTTTAGTATCTTCTTATAAAGCTGTCTACCATAGAAATGAACACATTCTTATTGCCTGATGAAGAGCAAACATCTTTATCTGTGTTATCTGTCTCCATTATCTTTCAGCTACCCACTGGGGTAGTATGAAGGATCACTTCTGCGAACTTCTCTGACCACAATACTCAATATTCTACATAGACATAGGCTTCTATCAGCATGAAGCAAAGGTTAGGATACAGCTTGCAACACAGATATGCTTGCATTACAGCTGCAACAGTGAAAGTCCACTTGGAGGTAACAGTGACACAATTCTGACCAGCAAAGGGAAAAACCAACTTGGGAAGTAACTGAAGCCAAATTCACTGTAACCTATACTGGAAGAACCAGAATCCATCCCTCCAGTACACAGCTTCTTGACAGGGCAATGAGGAAAAGACGTGAGGCACTAGGAAAAGCTATTCATCAGGGACATAAATGAGCATGCTTGGAAGACAGAGATAGAAAAGCTAGCTGCAAGTCAATTAGAAAACACCTGTTTCGTTTTTTTTACAGGAGCTGCCCCACTCCTCTCAGTCTCACTGAACGTACTGTTTCTGAATACTCCTCTCCCCAGAAAAATTTTGCATGGAAAGAAGGAGCAAATTGTTTGCTTCTTTTGCAGAACAATACCTGCTATTCAGAGGACCTTGCAGTCTTGTCAGATCTGGCAGAGGCAGAATGAAAGATGAATTCAGGTCCTGTGACAAAAGGATCTTTTGTGAAAACCTGAAAATTAAGTCTCTTCTCAACATACAGATGCACCCTGACTGGGGAAAAAAAGGTGTGGAAGTAAATTACAGGCAGCATCTGTAATCTATGGCCTATTGTAGCATTACGGTACTTGCCCACTATTATTGAAATCATACTTAAATAATTAAGTTAGAGTTTTAATGATCCTGGAAGTCTCCTCTACTGCCAGCCTACAAAAACCAGAATCCTCTGATCTCAGATTTGCTCAGCCCAAATATTCTCCATGAAACAGTAATACAAATCTAGCATTTTAATGCAATATGTATGAATATTTAATATTAACTCCATTTACATATTTAAATTATTCTACTACAACACTGCTATAGATACAATATTTGGTAAAAACAACTAGTATGGTTAAATGTTCAGATTTTGGTATTGTTTCCTAGCAAGTGTAAAACAGTGGAAAACAGTTTCCATGTGAAGAATAAAGTCTACTTTAACAGAAGCAGCCAAGACCAGCTGCAAAATACAGACCATGTGTGCTGACATTTATACAAAACCTTGCAGTAATAAAAGGTTGTGTCACTCACTGTATTTACAAGAAACTGCCCAATACTTCAGTTACTGACTGCACTATCGGAATTGTTAAAGAAAGAAAGAAACAAACAAAAACCCCACCCAAAACACAGCAACACACACCACCACAGCATCCTTGTCATGTCCTTCAGAAATCAAATAATTTCTCCTTAAAAAGTGGCCTTGTTTAAACTGCATGTGCTAGAAAATATAAAACTCTACAACAGGACGAGGTTAGAAAAGTTGAATACTGTGGAAAAAATTTATTAGTCTATACAAGTCTTCTGAAACAAACCATTGGCTTTGATACAGTAAATTCAAGTGAATACTCATTGCAATAGTGTTTTCCCATACAGAAATCGAGAAGTCCTAGAGCTTCCCATTTATAATGTCTGTGATAGGAAGTTTTATTTCTGAACAAGTAGCTGCACAAAGCAGACATGTGATAGAGATCTTCACAGCCACAGTGAGCTACAGTTTGAGATAAAGTTATATTACAAACACTTAGGAAAATTAGGCATCTGTACTGAAGTGTGGCAAACTGATTCACAATGAAAGACCAAAGATGTCACTCAGACCCCTTGCCAATAATGAAGACTTTCTATAGCAAGTCTAGAGCAGACTGCATCATAAAAACCTAGAGTGCAAGAGTACCATAAATTTAGTATATAAATATCACAGGATTAAAACTCCAGTTAAGCTATCAACTGAAGTAATAATTAAAAAGAAAAAAAGAGTGTCTGCCAGCTTGCAAAGGAAGCTTCCAAAGCATCTCTTCAAGAAGGTGCTGATACCAACTACAGCCTGTGCCAATTTGTATTTCAGACAGCTCTGCTGAAAGACAGAAAATGATCAGATTTGTCTAAGTACTGTATATTCTTGCTGGGTTTAATACCATTAAAAAAAATAACAGAAGAGATGAAATGTAACATTTATAGCTCACACTGTTTTAAAGATCTGTGCACACTATATAGTTCTATAGTTTCAAGAGCATTTAAAAATAAGACGAAGCACAGACAATGCAGTAATACCTGTTAGAATTGTTTAGAATAGTTACACAATGAATGTATACAGTCATAAAATTTGTAGTGCATTTGTTCTTGCACATTATTTATGATACTTATAAAAACCTGAAGATTGCAAATTGGGCATGCTTACCATAACATTTTCAAACTGGGAAAGCTGAAGAACATTGTTCCTAGAAGTGTTCACTGCCATGATACAAAACAAGTATGTGCAAACTGCAAGGTCCCTAAAAACAGCATTTAATGAATTTATGTACAGAAAGATGTCACTATCTGTTTAAATACGCAAAGAATAAGCTTCCCAAAGTTTATAACATAGAACAATATCCACCACACGCTCCTCCTCCTCCATATCCTTCTTCCTTGCTTGATAATTTTACACCTCTGTTTTGGCTCTCACTCTCCCACAGTCCAGGAGTCTGAATGATTTTTTCAACAAGCTCTTCAAAGGCACACTGTACACCATCACAAGTTTTTGCACTTGCCTCTAGAGAAGGGATGCAAGAAGTCACGTGTTAGCATAACCTGCAGTAACTCATTTAGTGTTTCTCTTTCAGTTAAGCCTCAACCAACAACCTAGATTCAGGACTTCTACAACACATTCTATAACAAAATAGCAGTGCCAAAATTAACAGGTATGAAGATTTCTGTCACCACATAAGGCAGCACACCTCAGACGCTTGAATGTCACTATAATATAGGGCGACAGCTATAGCTGAGCCTTATTTTATGTGGAAAACACTTCAGCAAAAAGAAAGGAGGGTCCTACTAACTTACAATGTCAGATAAACAGATTGCTTACAATGCCAGATAAACCTGGTTGCTGTGTATTCAGTTCTGTGTATTAGTCAGAACTGCTGTACCACAACACCATAAGCAGCAAGAATCCATACTGTAAGATTCTGGGTCAGCCTCCATGATACAACCCACCTGACAAAAAGCAATAAGGGATCTCATTTCTTCTGCAGTTTGCAGAATTCTGTGTAATTTCACTTTGGCCAAGACCAAAAGAATTTGCTTAAAGAGTATATTATGAGGACAACAGATACCATCTGAAACTGTTCAGTCCCATTAGGCCTTGCCCTGTTGTCCTACAGAACCATGCAGATACTTAGCATATGTAGCATGCAGATATATATACTTATAGTTTAATTTTCATGTTTCTATTCATCTTCCATGCACTTAACATCTTGTGTCTTAACTTTGAACTTCTATTTCCACATATGACATATGCAGCAAAAAAGAAACTCAGCAAGGTACTAGACAAAGACAGTCTTAGCAGAGATGAGGAACATAACTCTCACTACAGGACATGTCAATGTACTGCTTTCTTACCAGAGCCATCCTATAAAGCAAGCCCTGCTGATCTTTAAATGAAGCATGCAATAAACTTATGCATAAGAATCACTTCACCACATACTTTATCATCACGAGGCTTTGCCTACAAAACCTATCACATTTTGCAGCAAGATGATACCAACATATTTGTTCCAGTCATGATTACATCATTATTCAATCCCACCCACCATTTATAAGTTAATTTTACTCCCAACTATTTTTACATCCCAGTTCTAATACAGATTTCTTTCAAGTACCAGCTATTTTGCTACACCAAAAGCTGGCCACTATTAACAGTTTTCCCTCTTTCATTTAGCTTATGATTAATTTATCAAGTTGGCTGGGAACAGAAATCAGACAAAACTCCAAACCTAAACCAGGTTTTGTCAGACCACAGTAGTCTGTTTCTGCCCTTAGTCCTTATGAATTTCAGTATAATCATCCCCCGTTAGAATAGGTATCTGGATATATTTGGAGACAATTAGAAAAAAGGGGGGGAACGCCTGTTATCTTTGTACCTACTGCAGCTGAGAAATATCATTAGTTTGATTGTATGTATAAAGACTATCAGTCCCAGAGAGGTACTTCTCATTATGTAACAAAAATCAAGTAAGATCCCTGCAGGTATCTATAACATACCTATGAACAACATGGAATGTTTTCTTGCAAATTTGAGACCTTCATTTCTGTCAACTTCACGGTTTTCCTATAAGACATAGCATTAATATGCATTATTAACAAAATACATCAACAGAATACTTATTGCAGCTGAATTTGGTTTACCTTATCAATCTTGTTTCCAACTAGCATTTTCACTATGTCATTCCTTGTGCAGTATGTTTCCAGTTCATTTAACCAGTTATCCAGCTTGACAAAAGTATCTCTTCTTGTGACATCATAAACTGAAAAATATTAGCAATATTATTCCCGTACTAATTTTCCAAGAAATACAGCTTATATTACAAAAGTAACAAAAAACTACGGCTTTTTGAATTAGAAAACTGAAGGAGCACTCAGGATTCTAATTCATGTATTAAAGAAAGAATTGGAAAAAAGTTGAACATCCACCAGCTCAGATTACCAATGATACTAATACAGAGTGACTCTAAAATTCAGTCATCGACTGTTCGTGGATCAATTTATCTTGAAATATTCTAGCTTACAGGCCAGACACTATGATTCTCCAACAGTTGCACACTCCAGAATTAGGATACTTATTTACATCACTACAAAGAAGATACCTAAGAAGTACAGCATGTCCTTCTTGCACCTGAGTTAGTGATAATCAAGACCTGTTTAACACCATTCCTACGGCTACTCATCTGACTAAAACTGTAAACTGATCACTGGTATCTATACGGGTTTGGTGAACTACTGATTTTTCAGCATTTTAGTGTTTCAAACTGTTTAGCATGTGTGTGGGATACAAGTAATAATCTGCTAGGAGCAGAAACAGCTCACAAAAGAAAGAAGACTTCGTTAAACCTAAAATCAACTATTCAGCAACTGCCCAAGAGCTACTACTTCACACTATGAAAGTATTTTACCCTTCATTCTCACATCCTGTGTGCAGAGAGGCATGAACAGTTGGTTTCAGTTAAATCTATAGCTTTGCACAAACAACCTAATTTTTAGGAATTGTTAAACAGGAGATTATTAAATAAAACAAAAAAACAAATAGAAAGAGCAGAACTTTCTAGCTCCCAATCAGTGTTTGCTCACTTTTACAGCTTTCAACAGTAAGTGGCAGGATCAGTGCCAGCAAGTAGGTGACTTGACAAAACATGCCTTGACAGTATTTTGCTATACCAGGAAGATACCGCAACTCAGACCTGGGAAACAGGACATACAAACCAAAACCTAACAGGAAGTCTCATGAGAGAGGTTACTCAAAATTAAACAATTTAACTGGACACAGTATCTTACCAAGAATCTCTCAAGTCACACACAACTTAAAAAAAAAAGGAGAAAAAAAAAAAAGAGAGAGAAAAACCAGACTTACTTCCCTGCCCTTACTTTGCTTATCTCCTCATTTCTAGTAGTGGAGAAGTGGAACTTTAGAGTGAGTGCCTATTTAATAGATTGCCATGTATGAAAGAAAAAAAGACACTTCACCATGAAGCTGCAATTACAGGTTTTGGCCTAGTTTTCTCTCACATAGATTGATGCTTTTTATGCTAGTCTTTTTAAGTGATTCTGGCTGTGTCACTCCTATCAGTATGGAGACACAAACAGCTGAAAGTCCAGCTAAACTCCACAGTGTTTATACTAATTTCATTAGGAAAAAGGAACAGGGAGAAGAAAAAAAAAGTTGCATACACACTCATACAGAAAGAATATACCGAGAAGTCTTTTTCTTCTTTTTCCCTGACTCTGGGCTTAGTAAGCACAGGCAAAGACCAAAGATCATAAAGAAAAGTCATAGCAGCATAGGGACAGCTCTAAACTATTCCTTCAAACAGCAGTATCTTTTAATCTCATGCAAAAATCAGTGGTCCTCAGGCCAATGAGACTGACTACATCAACAAGAGAGCAAGCATCAAAATAAATATCTTCTAATATATCAGTTTCTCAACACTGATACAATGATTTTCAGCATCAATTAAGATATTACAGAAAGCATTACAGGTTTGTATAACTCCAATGTATGAAAACCCACAAATTTATCCAAAATAGCATGCAAAGCTATACTTACCTAGGATAACACCTTGTGCACCTCTATAGTAACTGGGTGTTAAGGTTCGGAACCGCTCCTGACCTGCAGTGTCCTAAAAAGCCATTCAGAACAATCCATTATTCAGAACTTGAGCAAAATCCAGTTTCTCTCTCAAGTATTCTGATTCTAATGAACATACGAACTAAGGTCCAAAGTATATTCCACTACCAGATTAACTGAGTTTATACCCTCCCTTGCTGTTTTACTACATGTTAACTTCAAAATTTTATGTTGTCTGTCCTGGGAAACACTTTTAAACTGTTAGCTGTAGTAAATAACTGGACTATGTAGCAGTAAGATAGACACTTCTGCAGAAGCATTTATTCTGCAGCTAGCACACCAGCAAGAAAGAAGCACAGGTGCAGTACTAAGATTTTGCAACAAGCATCAAAACCCATGGCAAGAAAACCAGCTCCCTCACTTCAATCACCCTGGCCCAATTATATTTGATTCTGTGCCAGGGTAAACACATTTAACATGCTATGGCAGAGCAGAAGCAGAAGAAATAAGTCAAAGGCTTTTCTTGGTTGTTAAGGGAAGTTGAATTTACATCCCCAAAGTGTTAACAGGTCTGAAAAAAAAAACCCTAAGTATTAGAATACTGTTTTCTTATTAGAGATTAAGTTACAGTGCACACTCATAGCAGACTTTAGGCACAGAAGATTTAAGTAACTTCATCAGTTACCCCAGGTTACAAGCAACACAAGAATTACTGTGGATTCAAAAAGGTTCCCTGCCAAAGAACCTGAACAACTGAACTGGACTTCAAGTCAATCAGTCAATCCCATGTATCTCAAAATGGGTTTGTGTCACCATTCAGCTTTACAAGCTTCTATTTTCCAGTTTACTGCAGAATCATTTCTTCATATTCACCAATATGAAAGAAGAGAAACCCCAAGTTATGCCTATGTAACATTTTTCCATCCAACGATCACTCATCATTCTGCTATAGGTCTAGTTTTCCTCCTACCTATATATTTTTCTGTCAACTTGCTGCAGTTATTTTCCTCGTCAAACCCATTTATTTTACTGATGATTACTATCATCACATCAAGACATAAGTCCTGTTTGTTAGTCAAGATATGAAACACCTTCAAAGCACCAGAAGCATGGCAATATATATTTCATGTTCCACTACTACTTTCCAAGAAACAACATCTTGCTTATGAGAAACATGGTTTTATTTTTGCCTGCTACAAGAAGTCACAACTAGGTCTGAATTTAAAAGGTGCTTCAAGTCACACAGGCGCGGAGGCTGGTTTGCAGAATGGAGAATGTTTTAAAAAAAGGCTTGGAAGTACTCTTCTTTCTTCACTCGCCATGAATTTAGAAGTTCCACTTTTAACAGGAGTACATGCTAAAAACTCTAAAGGCTAAGATTACAAACACTGCCTCTCCATCCTTCAGATCCACCTGCTACAAGAACGACTGACCTCAAGCCTATAAAAACCCTTGTACAAGGGCTATGATGTTTTAGGCTAAAAACCATTTTGAGGTAAAATTTGAGCATAAACTGAGCATGCAACAGTAATGCTCAATCTATTAATACACTACTGAATTTTGCCTAAGACATTTAGGTTAAGAAGTGCACCCTTTTAAAACCTGTTAAGTATAGACAAGAATGATGCATACCGGGAAGTCTCGGCTTAGTGAGGACTAAGACTTCGGAAGTTAAGCAATAAATTACTCATTTTAAAGGAAATCGAGGAATGGCCACATACACTGTGTTAAACGTCTGATTTAGTGCCATTTCATTTCTCCTTTTCCCTACTCCTATCACAACCAGACTTGGAATCAGCACTGCAGAAGCAGCTCAAAAGCAACCTAAGTGCCCAATTAAACAGCTGTTCCACAGTTAATTCCACCTTCTGAATCGTTCATTATTAACATCTCACTCCTCCAAACCACCTTCATATGAAATAGAAAAGTATTCTATACAAACTACATTACACAAGCCATCACTATTCCTAAGGCAAAGCATACATTAAGAACTTAGGAGACACTTACCCATATTGCCAGTTTAGCTTTGTTTCCATCAACAGAAATAGTTTTCACCTTGAAGTCCACACCTAGAGAAAGAAATATATTTTAGTTCTTCAAACATACTACAGCTATTTTTGAAAGAGAAGGTAAAGAGAAAAGAAAAAACAACCCGAGAACAAGTTGTGCTTTGACAGGAGCAGGAAGAGTAAGTTTCATTGGCTATTTATGAAAATTGCTCCCAAACTCATGGTTCTGCTGCAAACAGGATTTTGCAAAAGCCTAAGGGCCTTTTCAGCCATTGACTCAAAATGCAGTAAGTACTTCTGGAAGTAAGGCAAATACTACATTTCCTGTATTAAAGCACATATTCCAGGACAAATATTCAAGTTTATAATTCAAATGGGTTAATCTATATTTTTTTACAAACAAAAGACAGACTAGGAATAATGTGGGGGCCTACTAGGATGCTGGAGAAGGACTCTTCATCAAGGACTGTAGCAAATGGACAAGGGGCAAAAGGTTCTGATTTAAGCAAGTGAGATTCAGGTTAGATATAAGAAGTTCTTCACTGTGAGGGTGATGAGGCACTGGAACATGCTGCCCAAAAAAGTGGTAAATGCTCCATCCCTGGCAGTGTTCAAGGCCAGGATGGACAGAGCCTTGGACGACATGTTGTAGTGCAAGGCGTCCCTGCCCATGGCAGGAAGGCTAGAACTAGCTGGTATTAGGGTCCTTTACAACCCAAACTATTCTGTGATTCTATGAACTTTCTATTAGTTACTCATACATGTTTTCTCCTTGAGTATATCCATCACCTTGAGAAACAACATACTTTCAGAATAAGGAAGCTGCATTCAGGTAACTATACAGTCTGTTTCCTGTCTTAAACAACCTGACCAAGGCCCATCAAGGTGATCATGCAGAGGTAAACCATATAATGAGACACTCATCTACTCTATGACTCTATCCTGTGAGAAGTAACGTTGTATGACAATAATTCCTCTAATAAAGATGTCAAATAAGCTTTGAATGATTTGAACACATAGTATATCTCTTACAGGAATTCCAGCAATACCAGGAACTCCCCAATACCATGCTCCATGACCAAGAATTAAAAAACAAAACAAAAAATGTCAAGCCAAGGTGTGCAAGATGTTAATGACTGCAAATTTGAAGGATATAGTAACACACATCAGTTTGAAAGGCTGAGGACAGCTATGATCCGCTTTGCTGTAATTTAACCCTTAGGTTACCAGTAACAAGTAACTGGAAGTATGTTTCAATTACTTCAGAGCAACTCACTCCTCAAGAGGCAGCAGCCCTCAAAGGAACTACTAGCGTGGAAAGTTGATACACTTGAAAGCTGCTCACGTAAAGGTAACAGCAATCTTTTTGCACTTTGACTTACAATGGTAGCCATCTGCTACAAGAATTTTTGTTTAACTGTTCTTATACAAAACATTTAAGCAGGGCATCATGATCAGCAAACTGTGCTTATATTTCCAAGGCCATGCAGATTACAAACAAGCGCAAACAGCTGCCAAAATAGGTTCAACTTAACCACAGAAGGTATACAGGATGCTTAAGGAAGCGCACACTGCAAGCAAGTTTACAGCTTCACTGCAACTGAGGTTTAAAAGGTTTTTTTTCTCTTTATTTTAAGGAAAACTCTACCAAGCTACATTAACCTTTGCAGTAACTGAACATAACTCTGTTTTTTCAGGGATTAATTCCTAGTCCCTAACCTAGTTTATCTCTTCTTCCACTGCAATTGCACATTTCTTTCTGTAAACTGTAAAAATAGCCATAGCTCAGCCAGGATGTCCCAACAGCTCAGAGTGCATTCTTTTATCAATTAGTCTGACATCAAAACCTGTAGCTGCAGATATTACAAGTTTATCAGATACTTAACGCAACAAATGAAAGGTATGTTGTAGTAGTTTCAAGAAGGAAAACTTTCTTCCTTAGGACAAATGATTAAAGGGTATTTTGAAGCCACAGTATCCTTCTCATTCAGTAAACAAATTCACTATCTTGTGCCTGAACAGTTAATGGAACATACATATACACCTTTAGTTAGCCTTGCTGCTGGCTTAAAATTAACAGATGCTTTAAATTCTGCATAAGCAATGCAAGTAATTTAAGAATTTGAAGTAGTAAATAAATCCCATGTGTGACAGACTTATAACTGAAAAGCAGAAATATTAAAACTACCTAAGAGCACATCAAAGTATATCCTATGAAATAATCAAGAGATGGTAAATGTAATTCTAGCAAAGCAAGGAGTTCAACACATATAAAAGCAAGTTAAAAAAAAAAATAAAACAAAAAACTTTCTAATAACTACATTTTTTACTACTGATCTGCCACAAAAGAGGAAAAGTAGAAAAAATGCAGGGCTAAAGAAATCTTGTTTAATTGAATAAACAGGGTACTTATGTTCCCTAAATACTTCAGTGAAACACAGACATATTTGTGTGGCATGTCAGCTCTGAGCTTTCAAGAGTGATGTTTCTACCCTTGACAACAGAAAGCAAACAGTGCTTTCCACCATGCCTTGAAAGAAGCCAGAAGCAAGACAGCTCTACGATACTGTACTCCTGTGTGTTGACACCTACAGGACCTGGCACTACACGCTAACCTACTATGGACTTACAGTCTGCAAGGAATAGCTCTGTTGCCTGCATGCTGCTCTCACATTTAGCTCAATGTGCCATGCTGTATTTACAGGAAGTATAAGATGAGCTAGAGTGTATTATTTGTGAGGCACGTAACCGACAAGTTGGACAGCTTAAAGTTGGAGGACTCCCAAGTGCAAGAAACGCTAGAAAGTTATAAGACATCAGATCTGTGCAAAACATCACTTATGAAATAGGAACTACACTGAACACTTATCTAGTATCTCTCATAAAAACAGCAGGCAAGTAAAGACAAGCATAAGCAGAAAGAACAGAAAATACTAGGGTACATATAGTCTAGTAAGATCCATGTGATGAAACCCAGCAAATATGCCAGAGAATACAAGGACTGGTGATCCTACTACAGGCAGAGTTGGATCTGCCAGCAGCAAACCTTGAGTTGTTGCTATGTAACAGCCAACTCTTAGCCACCACACATTGCTGTTGGGCATTTTGACAAATCCCAAAGAATTACTTCAGCGAGTAATTCCTTAATTTCTCAAATAGTGCACTGACGCCAGTTTTTGTAAAGAGTATTCTGTTCTATGAACAGCAGAATGAAAAACCCAATAAAGATGCCCACACTGACACCAAATTAGTCTATTGGTATTCAAAACATGACGAAAGCTAAAGTAGCTATTCTGCAGTGACTTACTGGCCCATATGGTTGATATACCAAGAAAGTGATGTGATTTGAAGCATATATTGTGTCAAAACTACTTAAGATTAGAACACAAGATTGACATCTTCAACACCTGGTCTGCTCCACTCCCATTTCCTTCCATGCTATCTTCCCCCATGAACTGAGGTAAGGCTACTTGCACAAGTACAATTTTATGAGCAGTGAAATGAGCAAAAATAAGCCTCTCCCCTTGGCTGCTCAGTGCTTTATGTGAAATAGTACTCCTGTATCTTACTAACATTAACAAAAACTATATCAATCAAGCTATTGACTTCTTGAGCAATTAGGACACAGCTGTGTTTGCCAACAGCTGAACTAAAAAAATTTTATACAAGTCCTTGGCCAGAAGTCTTCCTACAGAGGTAGTGAAAAATGCATTGTGTGTAAAAGTCATCTCTATTTTTGATTACTTCAGTTAATTTGGCACAGAGCTGCATCACTTTCTTTGAAGTTTCATTCTTCATTGGACAACCACCTATACAGTATATCCTGCATTCTGGGTCGCAACTCCAGCATAACTGACTTCACTGTTGGTAGGTATCATGCCAACATAGAAAGGACATCATTACTTTTTTTCCCAGCAGCTCACAGATTCTTGGCTCTCCTCCCTTCTTGAAGACTGAGAAGTTACCAAAGGACTAAGCAGGAGAGAAAAAGCCATATTGTAATTTCCTCCCTATAAAGGAGAAACAGAAGCCACACAGAGCCTAGTACAGTCTAGTATTGCCAGGATTTGCAAGACCTAACATCCTATTCTAAAGGGAGTCTTCAGTCTTCTTAAGATAGCTACCAAGTGTCATATTACATTGAGCACAAGTTCTGGACAGCAATATTGCAGTCCAAACAACTTGAGAGTTATCTTGCACAAAAAAAAAAAATAAAATAAAAAATCAGTAGGAGATGTAGCAATAGCTCTTACATTTCTATTTTAGCCTGAAACACAGGCAAACAGAAAACTGCAGGTTGTTCCACCAGAGCTTTTTACTGCTCATACCTATCACTTCCATTTTCACGGTGAAAGGTAACACTTATATATGTTTTCCCAGCCAAGGATACATTTTTGCATAAAGGGGAGAAATACAGGCCAATACAGTCAGAGCTCTAGCCAATAAGAGCTGCATGCTGGAACTGCATCCACATACTTTTTTTGCTATGAGGAACCAGACATGTCTGAACTTCACTACCAGTCAGGGAAGTCTGAACAAGCTACAGTTTTGTCCTGAAGGAGGCATAAATTTTTCTTATGTAGCATCAGAACAATACTTACCAATGGTTGCTGCAAGTTCCGGGTCAAATGTATCATCTGTGAACCGCAGCAGAAGGCTGACAAGAGGGGAAGAAAAATAAGAGATGCTATTACTGCACCATACCCATAGCTTGCCCAAAGTTTCTAAATTACAAGTCTGAAAGTAACAACAGGATCACACAACTAAATAAAAACACAATTCATTTTTCCATAATTTCTCTCCTACAACAGCCAAAGAAGGGAACATGAAAAAAAACACAGTAGACATGCCCTGCTAGAATAGCACAGGCCTCTTCTATGCCTAGAATCATAGAATAGTTAGGGTTGGAAAGGATCTTAAGCTCATCTGGTACCAATTCCCCCTGCCATGGGCAGGGACACCTCATGTTAAACCATATCACCCAGGACTTTGTCAACTGGCCTTGAACACCACCAGGGATGGAGCATTCACAACTTCCCTGGGAAACGCACTCCAGTGCCTCACCACCCTTACAGTAAAGAGCTTAATCCTTATATCTAATCTAAACCTCCCTTAAGTTTTAAAAACCCCTTGTCCTATCACTACAGCCCCTAAAGAAGAGTCCCTCCCCAGCATCCTTATAGGCCCCCTTCAGGTACTAGAAGGGTGCTATGAGGTCTCCATGCAGCCTTCTCTTCTCCAGGCTGAACAGCCCCAGCTTTCTCAGCCTGTCTTCATACGGGAGGTGCTCCAGTCCCCTGATAATCCTCATGGCCCTTCTCTGGACTTGCTCCAACAGTTCCATGTCCTTTTTACATTGAGGACACCAGAACTGTACACAATACTCCAAGTGAGGTCTCACAAGAGCAGAGGGCAGGATCAGCTCCTTTGACCTGCTGGTCACGCTCCTTTTGATGCAGCCCAGGATACGGTTGGCTTTCTGGGCTGCAAGCACACACTGAAGCCAGCTTGTGTTCAGTTTCTCATCGACCAGCAGCCCCAAGTACTTCTCTGCAGGGCTGCTCTGAATCTCTTCTCTGCCCAACCTGTAGCTGTGCCTCGGACTGCTGCAACCCAGGTGTAGGTCCTTGCACTTGGCATGGTTAAACAGACTGGCATCAGCGCACCTCACAAGCACGTCAAAGTCCCTCTGGATGGCATTCCTTCCCTCCAGCATATCAACCAAATCACATAGGTTGGTGTCATTGGCAAACTTGCTGAGGGCGCACTCAATCCCACTGTCCCTGTCACCAACAAAGATGTTGAACAAAATCTAGTCTATGACCCAGTATGGCTCTTTGAAAAGAAAGCATCAAGTTGTAAAATCAGTTGCCTGGACATTCACATGGTCTGCTTCTCCATTTTACTTCTATCTTATCCTATTTTGGTTGTCCCAGAATTCAGTACAAAAGACTGTCTTTTCTTTGAAGCTTCATATTGCCTAACCCAGCATCTCTAAGTTTGAGAGAAAAGTCAGCTTCTCACCCCAGAAATAACTCTTTGAACTGGACACACAGCAGCAGCTACGAATAAGACTCATCAGGACTTCACAGTGGAGTAGTACAGTCCCTCAAAGAAGTGCCCTTAAAGCCACTGTACCTGTGCCAAATGTAATTATTTTGGCAAGAGACAAAGATTCAGCATACGGTTTTTAAAATCACCAGCCTTATGCCTCTGTGGCAAGTGTATATTACCATGTGGCAGGCAGCTATTTGCTATGACTGACAGCTTCTATTCTTTTCCACACCAGACATACAAAACAAAGCCCTGTTTATTTTTTGGTGTGTCCTTGTCCCCCCATTTTTCCCCTCCTCTCTTCTTTCTGCATGCGAATTTAGCTGCCAAGTCTTTTTTAGCATTTGGACACAGTCCTGCACTGACAGAAAAGCAACTACAGAAATTCTTTTTCTTCAATAAGGCTGGGTGACAACTCCAAAGATAACCACAGACCAACCTTTTTTTCCCCTTCTGCAGAGCCCCTAAACCACATAGTAGCTTTATGTATCAAATAATAATTAAAACTTAAAAAAAATAATAATTTGATAGCACATCTGTTTTTACTGGTACCTTCAGACAGTTGTATCAGGACACTATTTAAGAGCATCTATTTTTAGTTGCAACCAAGACTAGTTTCACTCAAAACAGACAAAATACGGAACCCCCATTCTGCCACCAGAATAAACACATCAGTTTACAAATCCTGAGTTCTAAATCCAGCCAACTTCTTTCCCCACCTTTCTTTCATATGCAAACATCCTCTTCCACAAAGTACAGCACATTCACAGGGACCAGGTTTAAGGCAGCATTTGGTTCTATCAGGACTCCAGCCACTTACTACAACCATGCTAATAAAGCTTAACATCTGGCTTTTCCTAAAGTAATAGGCAAGTGACACAAATTCAGGAATACTTCAGTAGAAAGTTTCTATACCTGAACAACTGTAGTGTTATTGTTTCATGGCAATTTATTTTCTCTACATAAAGTCTCTTTTAACAACTTTACTGACATAAAGAAATAACCACGTAAGTAGGTATACAAAGCCATTGTCCATACTGAGGATAAAAAATTTTCCATATGGAAAAAAAAAAATAATTCCACTTATGAAAGATGACCTCAACTAAAGGAAATTTGCTCATATGTCTGTCACCAGAGGCCTACTGTACTAGATTACTAACTCAGTAGGCAATGCAAAGGTGTGGCTCACAGATTTTTAACAGATACATTTGGAGGTTTTTGTTTGGTTTGGGTGGGGTTTTCTTTGTTATGATTGCTGTTGTTTTGTTTGTTTTAACTAGCAATTTATATGTTATTAAGGGTTATAGCAGAAATCTAATCACTGCCATAAAAAAAAATCACCAAATCCAACATGACTGGCATAGTACATTCTCAGATGCCATTTATATCCCACTTCCGTTAGTAAGAACCATGACACTAACATAAAAAAGATACTTGAAGGTATAAAAGGTAACTCAGACCAAAGCCATAAGGGCAGGGCATGGCAGGGGCGGGGAGGAAATCAACCTCAAAGTACTCGAGAAATAGTGTAACTAGCAGAAGAATCAGTGGCAGAACTATTTCACTGCTTATTTTAGACGTCCCTGTGCCCCTTCTGCACCCAGTGCGGGGTCACTTGTGACTACGTTTATATATGTACAAGATCAGCCCCAAAGGGGCAGACACCAGCGCCGCCCTCCCCTCCCGGCGGGCTGCGGAAGGGGCTGACAGCCCTGGGCGGGGACAGCCTCTCGCCTGAGAAGGGTTCGAGGGATCCCCCCCGCAGGGCCTACACCTCCTCAGGGTAGGCCGCGGCCAGGCCGGGTGACCGCGGAGGCAGAGGTGGCGTCGTCCAACGCGGCACCACAGGAGGCTAGGCCGGGCCCGGCCGGTGCCCCGCGTCGTGACAGGAGAGGCTGGGGGAGGCGTGAGCCCCCTCACCTGGATTTGCCGACGCCGCTCTCGCCAATGATGAGGATCTTCAGCGTAGTCAGCACGTCCTCGTCCATCCTGTCAGCGCGCCCGGTCCGGCCTGGCTTGGCCTGGCTCAACCCCGACCGACACTCCCTGCGCAGGCTGCGGCGGCACGGCCTGCGCCTGCGCAGCCCACCATCCCTGCCCAAGCGCCTCCTAGCCGCCTGCCCGGCGCATGCGCCTCAAGCGCGCCAGCGGCGGAGGAGAAGCAGAAAACACCACCCCGGAAGAGTGTGCAGCCGAGCCGAGCCGAGCCGGGCCGAGCCGAGCCGGGCCGGGCCGGGCCGGGGGCCAGAGCCAGAGCCAGAGCCGGAGCCGGAGCCGGAGCCGAGCCGAGGCCGGGCCGAGCGCCCGGTGTTTGTTTACAGCGGGGTGGGAAGAGCGATGCCGCCTCTCCGTGACGTGGGAGCCCTGCTTCTGCCCGGCGTTTTCTGTCAGCAGAATCTGCCATCCTCCATTAAAAGCCCTAAATGCTCTTCTACATTTGTTTCAGATGTTTGCCTCTTTATAAACAATGTGGCTGCCATGCTGTCACGCTTGAAACCTACCTCAGGCCATGTGTAAGCAAGTGCAACTCTTCAAACACGTCTGACGTGAGCCTGAAATGCTCCTCGGCCTATGCTACAGTCCTTGGGCCAACTGTTCATGTCCAAGGATGAGCTCCAAAGTACACGAAATGGCCTTAGGTTCTTGTGCAGTCACACCGAATGAAAGAGGTGAAGCCATGTCATAGTCTGCGCAAGGCAGGTGTGCCTGTGAGCTGCGGTGAGTTTTGTCAGCGTGCTGGCTGCAGAGGGCACAGTTCTTCTAGCAGAAGCCCGGGTTTCCTGGGCAGTTGCCTTCAACCGAATTACAGGGTCAACAGAGTAACCGTTGTTTTGTGTCTGTGGTAAACACTCTGGTGCCTGGCTCCTTCTCCTTGCAGAATCTGATCTCCTGCCTCTTTTACCCCAGAAAACCAACTCCCACGATGAGTGCAATAACAGTAATTATCCTATTAAATTACGGAGGCATATTCTATAATTAAACATGTGCAACTGACTGGCTGTGTTTATACCAGGACCATGCCTGCTTATTAGTAATTATCAGAGTTTTATTGAAGATGTGACTTAGTTTTCTTGGTTTGGATTGTGTTTTGCAGCCATATAAGAAAGCAGTATGTTGATACTCTAGTTTTTGCTGAAGCATATTGGAACTGTGGGGGTTTAGTGTGAAACAGGATGAGAATTAGAATTTGGAGAATGGACCCAAACAGAAAAGTATTCTACTAAGGATGCTGAATCCCAGAGAGTGTTTGTATTCTGAGACTTGATCTATTCCTCCCCCCCACCCCCCGCTCCAGTGTAACCACAGAATCAAGCTATTCAATATGGATATTAGTCCTGATTCTATACCTTACTCAGAATGAAAGGTTGGCCAGGACGGCATTCAGATTATTGACCTTAATGATAAGCAGACACCAAAAAGCAGTCAAAGCCTGTCTTAACAGCTCATGCTATGGATGTGATGCTTTAGACCTCCCTAAGCATATCCTATGAGAGTAGGTGTTTCTCCATGTTGTCCTCCTTCACATGGAATTACATAGTTCTCTCAGTCTGAGATTGGATCTGTGTGCTGCAGTCAACCTGTCTGTTGCCTGTGTATCTATTTTAAGTCTGGAAAGCAAGGCCGTGTTGTGCATTTTTCATCCCTATTATAGGAGGCAATGGTAGTAGAGGATTAAAGTAGCCCAAACCTAGACCCTTCAAAATAAGAGCATTATTTATTCACTGAAAGATGTGCAATTATCAGGGCAAAATCATAGAATGGGCTGGGTTGGAAGGGACCTTAAAGATCATCTAGTTCCAGCGTCATTACTACAGGCAGGGACACCTTCCATTAGACCAGGTTGCTCAAAACCCCATCTAGCCTGGCCTTGCATCACTAGCCTGGCCTTGATCACTATCAATTCTTTGTAGTTTATTGAAGATAAGCCACATCTTGTTTACAAGAATCCTAATTTTACCTCCATATTGCCTTTTTCATCCCAAATGCACTTGTTTTCCTATCGAGCTTTTGTAGGGTTTCTTCAGTGAAGCCATCTCCAAACTGGGAGAGACTTGTTGGGAGACTAGTCTGCTGTAACTCTTGGGTGTCTGCCTGTTTTCTTGTGTGCTTTTCACTACTCATCAGGAGTCCTCACTTACTCATGACAGCCCAATCCCTTTCTTTAATAAAGCTGGAGGTTCCTTTTGTTGTTTGTTTGGGGTTTTTTTAATTTTTATCATTTACTTATCCCAGGGATCCCAGCCTCAGGTATGGGAGCGTCAAACCATAACAGCTGGTTAAACTCCTTGATAATTAGTCTTCCTAGAAGAATACTTGGAGATCTTTTGACTGCATCTTCTTATGCTATGCTGTTTCCTCTTGATTTCTTCTCAATGGTCTCTGGATTTCTGGCAGAATGCCATCAAGCAGATCAATTTGTCTGCATATACACTTGTAAATAATTATGCATTTACTTTCCTTATTGTTCATACACTGCTAAGGGAAGCAGTCTGATGGTAGGAAACTAGCATAACTTGTTCCAGGGCAGCTTGTCAGCATATATGGAGTAGTGTATTTGTAAAGAGGATTACTTCTCATGTTTTTACAAGTCTTGCATGGAGGCTGCCTCATTCCTGGGCTCAGGGAAGTAAAAAAATGTCAGCTCCATCTCAGCTAGCACTAAATGTATGTGATCAATGTTCCTGAGGTTTTGATTACTTCACAGAAGTAACAAAGAATGGAAAACATCTTAACAGTGATATCTCCTGTATTCTCAGCATCAAAATTCCCTGTTTGCTATGTTACAGACTTGGCTATATCCTTGACCATGAAAACAGGTCATTGGGACTGAGTAATTGTGATTACCTTTCTCAGACGGTGGGGAATTGTTTACAGTCCCTTCCTTAGAGTTGGGATCTACAATTAAACGGCCATTGCACTTCACATGTCCTCAGGGGACCCTCGACCAGTTGCATAGCACAGTGCCCTTAGGGAGCCACTGAGAGCAGGTAAAGGCTAGAAGGACCTCCAGCCAGTTTGTTTCTGCTGAACTAGCTGCAGCGTGACTTTAGCAACAGAGAGAAGTGCGTCAGTAATCAGTCAGTAATGTGATATGAGAGATACAAACAACAAAGGGTTTCCTCAGGCTCATGCTGTGTCTGAAAGACACCTGGAAGCCTTTGGTAAGTTCACTTGAACCATCTACCACAGCTTGAATATGGGGATAATGGTATTTGCTATAGAAAACTACAGCAACAGGAAGGGTGACACGCTAAGAGAGCTAAGAGTATGTTTTTCCTATGAGCACTGCCTGGGTTAGTATGAAATGTGAAATTCATGATGGGAGACTGGATATACAAGTGCATGGCTGTCCTCCTCTCTCCCCCTTCACTAATGCTATCAGCAGTCAAAAGAGGCCTTGAAATGTATAGGTTCTGTTTAGGTTGTTTAAGTACACAGAAGTCTCAGAAGCATGTATGTCTCCAGGTGTCAAAGTCCTTGATTCACTGATACTTTGAAAGATTTTCTCAGTTATGCCAACAATGTGCAATGCCCAGCAGAAGCTGAGAAGCTCTGCCACTTCAGAGAGGTTGACAGCAACATATAGGTCTCATGCTGAAATGACTAATCCTACTCTCCCATTTCCAGATTGTGAGGCTGACCCATGGGTTGTCGTGGCAGTGAGTCAGGAGTTATGATCCACGGTGAAACAGGTGTGATTGCTCAGCTCACCAGCCCCTCCTAGCAGAAATGACACACATATACATACTTACTCTTTTTTTCTTCTTCACACAGTAATTTCCAAACTTGTAAAAGTTATTATCTGCATATGTGTTAGTTTCAGGGAGGTTCCTTTTCTGTGTGTGACATCCTTAAACACAGTCAGCACATCCATAGGATTTCACGTTCAGCAAATCATAGCAAAGAGTGAAAGTGCAGCAGCAGTCCCAGAACTCTAGGCAGGATTTCTCTGGAGACCACACTGCAGTGTAAAGGATCCTGCTGTGGCTGGACACCCCTTTTCTAAAAAATACAGCCTATATTTATGAAGCAGCTATGCTCTGAGAAATTAAAATACACTGCTTATAGTCAACACAGTTGTAAAAAGTGGATTACATACAGCATTGAGGTTGTAACAGATAGGAATCAGCTACTTGGGAACAACAACAAGAAAAATAGTGGTTTCGACACCCAAAAAGTTATGGTCAAATATGAAAGTGATATACTAGAACTTGTCAGAGAAAACCAACATAAGAAGGACATGGACCTGTTTGAGTGAGTCCAGAGAAGGGTCACAGAGATGATCAGAGGGCTGGATCACCTCTCCTGTGAAGACAGCCTGAGAGAGTTGGACTTTTTAAGCCTGGAGAGGAGGATCCAGGGAGACCTTACAGCAGCCTTCCAGTGCCTCAAGGGGGCCTATAAGAAATCTGGAGAGGGACTTTTTACAAGGGCACATAGGGACAGGACAAGGGGGAACGGCTTTAACCTAACAGAGGGGAGATTTAGATTAAATATTAGGAAGAAGTTCTTCACTGTGAGGGTGGTGAGACTGGCACAGGTTGCCCAGAGAAGCTGTGTCTGCCCCATCCCTGGCAGTGTATAAGGCCAGCGATGGGGCTTTGAGCAACCTGGCCTAGTGGGAGGTGTCCCTGCCCATGGCAGGGGGATCGGAACTAGGTGGCCTTTAAGGTCCTTTCCAACCTAAACCATTATCTCATTCTGTGATTCTGTGATTCTATGTATTTGGAAGATCATTACCCAAGTCTTGCATAAAGATCATGAGTAGATTCCTGATTTTGTGCTAGAATAATCCGCTTGGTGAAAATAATGCGAAAAGCTTAGTTGAATGCTTTGAAATGTTACTTTACTAGATACAAGGTGGAACACTCAAGGGACAGCACACCTTCTCTGCTGGAAAACAGAGAAAAAGGCTAGCCACCTGCTATTTACACTGAACTTTGTCCAGATAAATTGATTAATCATTTAATCACAACTAATGCAAGCAGTAATCTTAAAAATGACAGCTTATCTTTCTGCATCGTGTCATGAACCTTTAAGCCAAGCACAGCTTTT